TGTGTATTCAGCAGGGATGGGAGTTATGATAAAGATATTGAACGACGAGTGAATGCAGGAAATAAAGGAAATGGGGCTCTACACTCTATTGTGAAAAGTCAGAATGTGTCAATAAAGGCACGTATGGGAATTCACAATGCTGTATTAGTCCCTACTTTAACATATGGTAGTGAAAGTTGGGTGTGGCAGAAGAAGCACGAGAGTAGAATAAATGCAGTGGAAATGCGATCGCTAAGGAGTATGTTAGGGCTGAATCTGAGTGACAGGGTGAGAAACTGTGTGATAAAAGAAGAGTGTGGTTTGCAAGATGATGCAGTGACCAGGATTAAGAAAGGAATGCTTCGGTGGTTTGTTCATGTAGAAAGAATGAATGCGGAAAGAGTGACAAAGCAAATTTATGTTGCAGAAGTGAATGGAAGAGTCGGAAAGGGACGTCCTAGGCGGAAGGTTGTCGACCAAATTGGCGATATACTAAAAATGGGCAAAATTAAGAGCACCCTTAAACGACGAGCATGTATGCGTAGGTATATGGATGTGGAAGAGGCGGGAGAGGTATGTCAGGATCGTGCTAAATGGAAGTCTGTAGTCTCTGCCTACCCCTCTGGGTGACAGGCGGGAGTGTTTATGTATTATGTCTATCCAGTAGTTTTGGCGTGAAGCCGTACCATACACACAGATACACAGAAAAACAGACAAATATTCTAAAAGGTCACTTTTTATTATCAGTTGCGTTTTCTAACAAAAGCCACTTATTTTTTCTCGAAAATACTTAATGTACAGTTTTTCTTTCGTTTTGTTTTAATATATTATGTATTTAATTAATTAACTAATAACATGTCATTTTGTGCATTCAATTACGAAGAAAAACTTTTTAAAATCAATATTGCTTACCTCTTATAACATACGGCGTGATAATATGTAGCCTAAAGCCTTCCTTAGTTTACAAAGAACATTTTTGCTGAATTTCAATTCAATCTATCCAGTAGTTTTGGCGTGAAGCCGTACCATACACACAGACAAACAAACAAACAGATGAAAATTCTAAAAAGTCACTTTTTGTCATCAGTTACATTTTTCTAACAAAAGCCAATTATTTTTTCTCGAAAATACTCAATGTACAGTTTTTCTTTCGTTACTGTTTTATTATATGTATAGTTTTATGAAAAAACTTAAAATATCCAATTTTTCGTAAGTCAAGTAGGTAGTCATTCTTCTGCAAGGTCATAATCTGTACTAAATATAAGCACAAATGTGACATATCGACTGTGAACTGGCAACCGGTCCTATATCAATTTTTTGAAGATTTCACTTTTTGATGCAATTTTATACTATTTCATACTCCGCAACGCTGCAATAAATCCCATCTCAGATACGTTAAAATTTGACGCCAGAATCGACTTCATTCAACTTGTACTAACTTCGACGCGCATTGAATGCGAGCATTTAATACTATCTCGCCAAAAGTGTACGGACATGAACGCGATTTTGCGCGCTCTTGAAACAAATAACTAAATAATTTATGTGAATTTATTATGTTTTTGTGCCATAAGTTATTAGTTATCATTGTTGGGGACTTCTAGTAGCTGAAATCATTTCAGCTACTAGAATTCCATATTTTCATTATAAACTAATCATTAATATTTAATCATCATCATCATCATCATTACAGCCCTTCACAAGTCCACTGCTGAACATAGGCCTCCCCCAAGTAATGCCACAAAGCACGGTCCTGAGCCACCTGCATCCATCGACTTCCTGCATATCTTACCAGGTCGTCACTCCATCTAGTGGGGGGTCGCCCTACACTACGCCTACCGGTACGAGGCTGCCACTCGAGAACCTTTCTTCCCCATCGGTTATCGGTTCTTCGAGCTATATGGCCGGCCCATTGCCACTTCAGCTTACTAATCCGTTGGGCTATGTCGGTCACTCTGGTTTTACTGCGGATATCCTCATTTCTGAGTCTATCACGCAGAGAAACTCCGAGCATAGCCCTCTCCATAGCTCGCTGAGCGACCTTGAGCGTCCTCATACGGCCAGCAGTGAAGGACCACGTCTCAGATCCGTATGTCATCACTGGCAACACGCACTGTGTTGTACAATTTAGTTTTTAGAGATTGAGGTATACCTGACGAGAAGATATGTCGTAATTTCCCGAACGCTGCCCAGCCGAGTTGAATCCGTCGATTGACCTCTCGGTCGAAGTTGGACTTACCTAGTCGGACTATTTGTCCCAGGTAAACATACTCGTCAACAACTTCGAGCATAGTGCTCCCAACAACTACCGGTATAGGTGTGACATGGACATTAAACATGATCTTTGTTTTGTCCATGTTCATCTTAAGACCTATCCGTTGGGAGGCACTATTGAGGTCATTGAGCATAGTGCTTAAGTCCTCCAGCGATTCTGCCATAAGGACTATATCGTCGGCAAATCGAAGGTGAGTGATGTACTCGCCATTGATGTTAATACCGTATCCTTTCCAGTCCAGATAACGTAGAAATATTTAATATTTCTATGTTAATAATCTAAAAATCGAGATAGTACATTATGCATCGACGTTAAAAGTTTTAGCAGATTGGAATAACTGAGATATAGTACTTTGTGGTTCTATTCAACTAAGGATAACATCAACCAAAAATACCTTTCGCTAGATTTACCTTTATATAGGTACACGATGAATTACATGCTTTTAAGATGCACGATTCCGCTATAAGTAGGCGTCTAACAAAATTTTATGATATTACTGTATTATTAAAGTGCCATTAGCATGGACTGCTTGCCCTTTAACCACCGCGTCGTACAGGCTTGCGGGATAAGAATTGCAGAATTGTGGTTATTACTACCTACCCGCTTCTTGACTAACTGGCCACTTGCTTAGTTGGGTTTATTATAGCGTAAACAATTATGGAAATCATTTGTAATTTCAAACGATTTATCCGTCTTGATATACGCTGCTCTGCTACCATTTTAGTTACTACTTTTACCTATACCTACTCTTTTCAGGAGTATAATAAGTTGAGACGTGGTAAGCGCTTGGTACAGGAAGTACTTAATGGCGATAAAAATAACGAAAATGCTAAGGTTTGTGATTATTATCTGTATTATAATAAAACTTAACAAAAAATAAACGAAAGTGACGAAATAAATAAATAATGTGTTAGTACGTAACTAAATCTGCCGAGTTATTGGCTTATTTTATATCTAATAGGTTTCTTTTGTACATTTTAGGATATCAACACAGGTGTTGAACATACGAATATATCAAGTATAGCCGGAAAAATACAGTACCTTTTACCATGTCTAACAAGCAAGAAACACTCCCATTTACCGTGTCTAACTAGCAAGAAGCAGTCCCTTTTACCATGTCTAACCAGCCAGAAACGGTCCATTTTACCGTGTCTAACCAGCAAAAAACAGTTCCTTTGATAGTACTTACGAGAGACACCAATTATACTGAGGACATACATTTTAACCCAAATATGGACACTATGTTTGATTCTCTACCATCAGATTATTTATCTCCACGATTCGTTCCCTCGCCATCCTACCAGTCAGCCATACTCGATTTTCAACGATGAAGCCAGTTTAGATAAACCAAATATGTCATTCAGCCCGCTACCATCCACGTCCCTAAATTTCCCTTCAAACATGTCATTAAGTTCGTCTCCAAATAAGCCACTGAACGCACTTCGAAACACACTACCATCATGCGAAGAATCTCCTGAGTCACCATCAATTTTAGCGACAAATGATACCGCAGAAAATAGTGCAGGTCAAGTAGCGGAAAACGTGCAAGGAAAGTTTTCAGAGAATGACCCATATATATAATATGAGTGAAGGAAGGAAAAGAAGAGAGAAAGCTGAGCTGGCTGAGTGGAAGTGAAACATCAACAAAAAGCTGCGAATGGAAGGAAAAGCTTACTTAGGTTTTAGAAAAATTGGAAAAACTGTTGTAGAAGATACACCAAGAGAAGAACGAATAATGAAGCCAACATGTTCTAGTAATGTTTAAAGTCTAAAAAACGTCATTGCTCATTATTTACGGAAGAACAGAGGAAAACAATTTACGACCGATTTTGGAGTTTAACTTGGGGAGAACGCAAATAATTTGTGTGTGGATCGGATTCTAGAGTTTCAACGAAAGCTAATAATACTGACAGTTTTTCTCGACGCAACTATAGTCTTAAATACGATTTGAATAATGGACTAGAGAGCTATCAGGTTTGTCGAGAAATGTTTATAAATACGGTTGGTACTGGGTGTAATAGAATGGTTCAAACATGGGTAAGTGAGAGCTCGCATGGAATACCTATGACTTCAAAGATAAAAATAACACACCAAATAATAATCTTTTATCACAAATTGAGTGTCTAAATAACGATAATCTTCCAAAAATGCCGTCCCATTACAATAGAGAGAATTCAACAAAATTCTAGAACCCGTTTTTCAAACAATACAAGAGGTTTATAAATTATACGAGTTGACGTGTACTTAGGCATTGCAACCGGCCTTCTGCCCTAAGAAATTTAGTGAAGTTATGGTTGAAAAAAATATTTCATTATTTAGTATAAAAAAGATAAATGCAACTTATGCGCCGGTTATGAAACTAAAAATGTACAAGAAGAAGTTTGGAAGGAGCATACAGCAAATAAAGAGATAGCTAGAATGGAAAAACACGAGGGTATAAAGAAAGCTATTGAGGGAAAAATTATTTTAATAGAAGTAGATTTTCAGGCTGTAAAGCTAGCTACATTTACGCACGCTTACGAGCTTTTTACTACAAAACAAAGCTAGCTTGTCATAACTCGACAATTTACGATGTTGTAAAAAAGCAAGCTACATGTTATTGGTTTCTAAAGGATCAAAACAATCAACCAGTTGCATGAACATTCGTATCATGTTTGATTGACTATTTAGAAAAAAATGTCTCACTTCTGATAAAAAACCAGTTGTAATATTTTCCGATGGATGTACAGTACAAAACCGTAACAATATTATGGCAAATGCACTGCTCAATTTTAGTATGTTTCATGGAGTCTTCATTTATCAGAAACACCTCGATGTCGGTCGCACGCAAATGGAAGTAGACTCCGTACATGCTTGTATCGAAATAAAATTAAAAAATAAGGAAATAAAACTACCAAGTGATTACGTATCTACGACCAGAGAAGCACGAAAAAATCCATCACCGTACGAGGCTATTGAGCTGACTTACGACCTTTTTAAAGACTATACGAAACCTTTGAGATACAATAGCATTAGACCTGGTCAAACAAAAAATGATCCAATGGTCACAGACATTAAAGTCATAAAGTATGATCCTTTAGGACTAATCTGGGTGAAACTTGATTTTACCAAAGATTGGATGGACTTATCTCATAGACCAAAGAGAACCATCACATCCAGTGAACTGTTACCTACCCTTATTTACATCAAGGTGTCGCATTCCTAAAACGAAGTTGTTACACCTCCAAGAATTGAAAGCTGTCATTCCTCAAGATTGTCATAACTTTTATGATAATTTGCCTTATCAGGAATAATTTTGATCCCAAAGAGAATAAGAATCAGTTCCTTGCCACTTCTGCATGCAGTTGGTTGGCCTAGTTAAGGTAGAACTGTAGGCAAAGGTGGCATAAAACAAGCCTTATTTTGTTATTTTTGTAGATTCTTTAATTTTGTTAACAATTGTATTTTTTTTATAAAATAGGGTTTGTATACAATACGGTTAATTTAGATGGACCGGTGAAAAAGATATCTGAAACTTTCGTTGATTTACTCTAAGAAATGATGGCCTCTAAAATTGAGAATAAAACGTTGAAAAAAAAAACAATTGTTAATGACTGACCCACCACACTAATGGCTTTGTAGACTTGCCCACCTAATAATGTTTCTATAATGTCGGAAATATAAAGACTATTATGAATAACAATTATATTGTAAGTTAATAACTTAATTTCATTATATAGTATATTGAGTTGATAATGTCCTATCGTTATTGTCTTATTTTGATTTTGAAGATAGACCTTATTGTTTCAAGCAAGACATCCTATGTTCGTTCTTTAGTTGATTTATAATGTCCTATCTCGTTTTTATATTAGAAGGAAGCATATATTGCTACTTTTGTTTTTAATAACATGTGCAATAAAAATATTCAAAAACTACGAATTTTTATTTAATATACCAGATGCTATACAAATGGTGCAAACAAGTTTTTTCTACATCCTGTAAAGTTGTCAAAATTGAGATAGAAACAGTTGCCAGTTCACAGTCGATATATCATTCCACAAACACCTGGAAATGGTCGAGTGATCACGTAATGACGTGTGTAGATTATATGATACTGTTGCGTGTCTAAGTTGATGTCTGGTACCTGGTACTAGCGCCATCTAGTGTCGGGTAAAAGAGCGGAAAGCTTTCCAGAAAATTCCATGAAATCTTTCAACCAACAGTGCCATGTAGTATCGAATTGAAGAACTAAGCTATCTGGAAAGCTCCACAATCGAAGTTTCTGCACCTGGGGCCAGTATTTTCTGGAATATTCTATATTTTTCGGTGGAAAAAGTGTATTTAAAGCCGCTGCAAGCCGCGATTCATCAGCGTTAGGAAGGTTGCAGCAGCTACAGTTCGTGACCACAATAAAAATTACAGCCCAAGGTGCTACGGCTGTGGGGAAAGGAGCCATCTTCGACCCAGCTGCCCTAAGCGGTCTGTAAAAAGGGAAGTTGATCGATCTCGAAAGGGTAGCGCCGCCCAGTAGCAGCAGGAATGTGACCTGACCTTACTATCAGACACAGCAGCGGGAAATGGTGTGCAACACAGATGCATTGTCTAGAAGACCTCATCCTGATAATTGCGAGAACAGTACTAGGCAAGAGGGTAAAGAAGTGGTAAGGATACTCAGGACAGTCCACCTCAGCAACGAGTGGAAGGACCTCTTACAACATCCACAACAGAAAAATCCGGACATCAAGCCGATTCTGGAATGGTTGAAGGACCGTGCTCCCAAGCCCAAGCGTAGCGACGTCTCAGCGATGAGTTTGACCACTAAAAGCTATTGGGATCAATGGGACAGCTTGCTGCTTTAGCATGGAGTTCTATGCCGTAAATGGGAAAATGGTCGGGGAGACAGCTGTCATCTGCAAATGGTTGTCCCTAAAGCTAAAGTACCGGATGTACTACAGCTGTATCATAATGATTGTTCAGGAGGCCATCTGGGAGTTAAACGAAGTCTACTGAAGATCCGAGAACGGTTTTACTGGGTCCACTGCCGAAACGATGTCGAGGACTGGTGTGGAAAATGTACAAGCTGTGCGGCTGTAAAGGGACCTCAGACTCGTAGTAGAGGTGCATTGAAGTTGTACAATGTTGGTGCACCATGGGAGAGAATAGCCATTGACGTGGGGGGGGGGGGCCGTTTCCGGAGAGTGAAAGCGGTAAGAAGTATTTCAAGGTTGTGATGGATTACTTCACTTAGTGGCCCAAAGTCTTCGCTATTCCTAATCAAGAAGCTTCAACAGTTGCAGATAAACTAGTTCATGAAGTCTTCTGTCGTTTTGGAGTACATTTAGACATTCACAGCGATCATGGAAGAAATTTTGAGTGTCAAATATTCCAGGAAACTTGCCGAGTTATGGGTACTCATAAAACAAGAACGACTTCTTATCACCCGATCGACAATCTGATGGAATGGTAGAACGATTTAATCGGACATTGGAGAGGTACATAGCAAAAGTTGTAGACAATCGGCAACGAGATTGGGACAAGCACATACAACCGTTTTTGTTGCCATATCGAAGCACTGTTCACGAAAGTACATCAGTGACACCAGCTTTCGCAAACTTTGGAAGAGAATTACGGCTGCCTGTAGACCTGATCACCGGGATACCACCTGATGCCACACGCAGTATAACCGATTATGCAAATGGCTTGCAGAACAAAATGAAGGACATCTATGAGCACGTCAGACAATCGGGCCTGCAAATGTCTGAAAAGATGAAAACCCGGTATGACCGCAAAATGAACAACAAAGGGTTCGACGAAGCTTCAAGCTAAATGGGACGGCCCGTACCGGATTGTGACCAGCATCAACGACCTAACCTACCGGATACAGAAAGGCGCAAGAGGTACTCCTAAGATCGTCTATGTGGATCGACTGGCGTGTTATTATGAGGCCGATAATGCTCGAGACGAGCATGTCTTAGGAGGGGGCAGTGTTGCGCGCCTAATTTGATGTCTGGTACCTGTGACTAGCACCATCTAGTTTCGGGTAACAGAGCAAGGAGAGGTTTTCAGAAAATGTCATGACTAATATTTCAACCAACAGCGCCATATAGTATCGAACTGAAGAACTAAGCTTTCTGGAAAGCTCCACAATCGAAGTTTCTTTTTGCACCTGGTCGATCGGGGGACGGTATTTGCTGGAATATTCTGAATGTTTCGGTGGAAAAGGTGTATTTAAAGCCGCTGCAAGCCGCGATTGGCGCAGTATTGAATTTGGCGATTCAAGCGAAACTTCGGAGCGAAATAAAGTGAATCAATGTGGTTTAATTTTTAACTTTAAGTTTAATTGGTGCTAATAAAGGTGTAAACCTTGGTAATTCAATCAGCAGTTTTTATTGTCACGAACTTCAAGCTCGTAACAATACGCTGTTTATTAAACTAGCAATCACGGGATCTTTATATCTTGGATGGTAATTTATCTTTACTAAATAACAATTATATAAAATATTAATTAATTAAAAAACTATAGTTAGTGTGTTTAGTCATTAGACACAGATTTAAAGAATATAATTCTGTACTGTTTTCAGTAACTAATAGTGAAGAAAATATATTGTTACGAGCTTGAGGTTCGTGACAGCAAAAACTGCCGGTTGAATTACCAAAATGTACACTTTAATTTTCTTTACACCAATTAAAACTTAAAACACTAATAATTAATCACACTGATTCAGTTTATTTCGCTCCGAAGCTTCGCTTGTCTCGCCAAATTCAATACTGCCCCGATAGTGGTATGCAGCGGATTTAAATACACGTTTACACCGAAACATCCAGAATATACCCGTAGATACGGGCGCCGACCGACCAGATGCAGGAAGTTCGAAAGTAGGGGCTTCTAGAAAGCTTAGTTCTTTAATTCTATACTAGCTGGCGCTGTTGGTTGAAATATTAGTCATGGCATTTTCTGGAAAGCTCTCCTCGCTCTGTTACCCGACACTAGATGGCGCTAGTGCCAGGTACCAGACGTCAACTTAGGCGCGCGACAATATTTAAGGAGTAAATGTAGTAAGTAGATGCTGTCGATTATAATAGACATCTACACCTATCCTTGATTAGTAATCACAATGCAAATCAACAGTTAAAAGTTCTCTGATTGTCGCCATCCTCCATAGGAAACATGGCAACATAATTCTGCTATTTTACGCTAGTATTCTGTGTGAATATAGTATCTTCCAGTCGATTCTACTAATTCATTTTGCAGTCATAACACAGAATAGCGCTGCTTTACTAGATGAAATATCATTGAATTATATAAGCAAAAGCTATTTGATTTACTTTATGTGGTAATTTTATACGATCGCGGGTACCTACCTCGTTTTTTGGATCTAGAGAATAGAAACATCATCCGATTGACCTGTTTTTTTTTAATATTCGTCTTTACGGGGGATTATGGGAAAAAATATTGAAAATATCCCGCCTTCAAGATTTCATATAGTTTTATGACTTTAAATGTGATCATAAACGCTTCTTCGAATATATTTGTTATTTTTATTGTTAATCTACACAAAAAACAAACATTGAAAAAAAAAGCATTGAAAAATGTTTTTAATTAATTTTTTATCTCACTTTAAGTTTTTGACTTTAAATGTTATCATAAACGCTCTAGAAAATCGAAAAATCGTCCGATTTCGATTTGTTTTATTTTAAGTCTTCGTTTGTATTATATTCAAAAATAAATCAATAACTTATATTTTCCTCGAAAAACTCTTAAAACAAAATAAAAAACATAATGCAATCTTTAACAGTGGTTGCTATATCTTAATATAACTAATGTACACTTAAAAAAAATTGAATTTTTTTTAAAAAAACTTACATAATGTTTATTTATTATTTTTTTAACGGAGTGAGATTGGGACTTAGGGCATCCCGACTCGGACAGGTTAATCTACAAAGAGATGGCGGGGTCGAGTGAGCGAGCGAATAGACCCCGCAATCTCCTTCGTGGTTATTTTTTATAAACCACTCAGAATTGGGAGCCTCGCGAAGCGGGGCTCCGTCGACCGGGCTTCCCTTGACCGCGCTACGTTGAGCGGCGTGGTGCTTCCCTCCCCCAACTCTTTCCCGTTGGGCAGTTGAGTGAAGCCCGTCGACAGAGCTTCGCGGGGCTTCTAGTTCTGAGTGGTTTATAAAAAATAACCACGAAGGAGATTGCGAGGTCCATTTGCTCACTCACTC